GATCAATGCTTTTTGAGTAAATACCACCAAAGGAGTGCCATTTGGTTTTTGATCTGGTTAATCATCCTCTTTTAGTACCAGCCAATAATTTTGTGGAGAATTTTTCACATTTTTAAGAATTATGTTTCCAGGGCTTTGCTTTTTGGATAATAACAAAAAAGTGTTTGAGTTTCCCCTAGCAAAAATCTGAGATATAGTCCATTTATGAATGTAAATGGACATAAACATAAAAATGGCCCTATGTTTTTGTAATATTTTGGAATGTTATGAGAAACATTTTGATTTTTTATCTTTCTGATCCATTTTCTTCTTTGCAGCCACGAAGTGTTCATGTGATACAGATTGGGGATTAAAAAGAGAAAAAGAAAAGTGTCATATGCTTTTAGAACAGCTGATATATCGCTTTAGGAAGCATAGCTGATACAAATCATGCAAAGTTATAAAACTGACATTTAGCAGGAGAATAAATTGTACACTGTTAGAAACTCCAGACTAGAAACTCTTAGAATATAGCCAGAATTATAACTTCTCTTGCTATGAAGATGACCAATGAGTCACATGAAGATCTGAACATTTATTTATTTTATTTTATTTATTTGATTTGTCAATTGCTTACAAGTTAATAGGCATACGTATAAACATAGTTATGAATACATGAAATGGGTACATATAAGAAAAATAAAAGAAACAATAGGACAGGAATGGTAGGCACGTTGGTAAGCTTATGTACGCCCCCTACAGACCTCTTAGGAAAGGGGTGAGGTCAATAGGAGACAGTCTAAGGTTAAATTTTTGGGGGTTTGGGGAAGAAACCACAGAGTCAGGTAGAGTATTCCAGACATTGACCACTCTGTTGCTGAAGTTGCATTTTCTGCAATCAAGTTTGGTGCGGTTAACCTTGAGTTTGTATCTATTGTATGCTCTTGTGTTGTTATGGTTGAAGCTGTGGGAATAAATTATCATGGATTAACTACACATGAAGAACATCCATATTGAACATCCATATTGAAGCTTAACAGATCTCTTTTTAAATAAAGACTAATTAAATAATTTGAAAAAAGAAGGAAAAAATAATGCTCTAAAATCAACGTTTAATCACTAAGGTGAATTAAGGTAATTTGGGATTACATGTGTTTTAGGCACTTGAGGAGGGTCTAAGACAACTCGCTGCAATAAACTTGCTGTGGCCAACTCATCACGGCCAACTCACCACAGCCAACTCACCACAGCCACCTCACCACAGCCAACTCAGATACAGATACAGATACAGATAATCAGAGTTGGAAGGGACCTTGTAGGTCATCTAGTCCACCCCCCCCACCCAAGCAGGAGACCCTATACCATTTCTGACAAATGGCAGTCCAATCTCTTCTTGAAAGTCTCAAGTGATGGTGCTCCCACAACTTCCGAGGGCAACTTCTGTTCCACTGGTTGATTGTTCTCACTGTCAGAAAGTTTCTCCTTGTTTCCAGGTTAAATCTCTCCTTGTTCAGTTTCCATCCATTATTCCTTGTCTGGCCTACAGGCACTTTAGAAAATAGCTTGACCCCCTCCTCCCTGTGGCAGCCGCTCAATTATTGGAAGACTGCTATCATGTCTCCCCTGGTCCTTCTCTTTACTAGACTAGCCAAACCCAGTTCCTGCAACCATTCACCACAGCCAACTCACCACAGCCAATTCACCATGGCCAACTCACCATGGCCAACTCACCACAGCCACCTCACCACAGCCACCTCACCACAGCCAACTCACCACAGCCAACTCACCACACCAACTCACCATGGCCAACTCACCATGGCCAACTCACCACGGCCAACTCACCACAGCCACCTCACCACAGCCAACTCACCACACCAACTCACCATGGCCAACTCAACACAGCCAACTCACCATGGCCAATTCTCAATGTGGGGCCACTCTCCATGGGACAACTCATCCAAAAGGCAACTTAATGTGAGATAACTGTACTTCCTCTGTTCCTCTCCTAATATTATTAGTAATATTATTAGTATTATTAATATTATCATTATTAATAATAATATAGTTATCTCACACTGAATTAGACCACAGCGAGTTGTCCTATGGTGAGTTGGCATGGCAGGTTGTTGCATTCTGCATGAGGAAGCTGCATAGAGCTCGCCATCATTTGTGTTGTCCTTGCTCAGTTTTGTTTATAAATTAATAGGATTTTATTGTACAAACATGATCACATGGAATTCTTAGTAACTGCCCTGAATTTTAAGCCTTATATATCTCCTAATTCAGTTTGATACAGTGCTTAAAGGCACTAGGCAAGAAACCAGGAAATTGTGAGTTACAATTTCTACCTGTCCATGAATACTTCAGCTTCAACCATAACAATACAAGAGCACACAATAGATACAAACTCAAGGTAAACCGCACCAAACTTGATTGCAGGAAATACGACTTCAGCAACAGAGTGGTCAATGCCTGGAATGCCCTACCTGACTCTGTGGTTTCTTCCCCAAACCCGAAAAACTTTAACCTTAGACTGTCTCCTATTGACCTCACCCCTTTCCTAAGAGGTCTGTAGGGAGCGTGCATAAGCGCACCAACGTGCCTACCGTCCCTGTCCTATTGTTTCTTTTTATTTTTCTTATATGTACCCATTTCATGTATTCATAACTATGTTTATACATATACCTGTTACCTTGTAATCACTTGACTAAATAAATAAATAAATAAATAAATAAATAAATAAATAAATAATAAATACAATTCCGTCTTAAGCACAAAGCTAGGTTAATAACTTTGGGCCAGTCTCTCTCTCTTGACTCTATGAAGAAGGCAATGACAAAGCACTTCCAAAAACGTCAAGAAAACTGCATGGACTTGTCCAGGAAATCGCTAGGCCCGGCTACAACATATCTCCTATCTATTTTCATCTAACACAACACAATTTGTCAAATTTAAGGCTGCCTAACTTATGACTCTATGTGCAACGATTCAGCCATTCCATCCATCTGGCCTATTAAATTGATTAAATTCCAATGGAGGCTGTTTCTAACAAAAATCAACAAAACGACAGAAATTTGCGTTTTCATTTGATGCTTCCAATTCAGCTAATTTTGACAAAGTTGGACTGTTGACTAGGCTGATCCCCTTTAAAGGGCTAAATATTTGTTATCTCTCTTCTTAAGCTATGCATTATTGGTTGGAACAATAATAGCAACACAATTTGTTTGAAAAGAAAAAACATAGTAGATGAAATAAATGCAGCTGGTTATGTGGCATTAATTACTGGTGTAATAATGTGGCAACAACTGCTCACTCTACTTTTTCAGTTGTCAATCTTAACACAAAATCTGGCAAGTCAACCCACTGCTTGTTAAAGAGCCATGAACCTATCCAAGAGCTCATATGAATTTGTGAGATCTCATCTCAGCCACCAACTCCTTTTCCCTGTCTTTCTCTTATTCTTTCTCATTATGTAAAAGATTTTAAATGAGGTTTGTTCCAGGCTATTAACCTAAGCCGGGTGACCACAGAGATAAAATTTCATTGTCAGAGGGAACAAAGAAATTGCTTGGGTGTGGAAATTGCAATGACAAGGTTGTCCAGACAGATTGTGATGTAATGAAATGAAGTATCTGACAAATGAGAGTCAGAAATATAGATGAGTGATAAGAGCTCATGCTAACATACTTAGAAGAATATTTAAGAAGACCTGTCCAGCAGTTCCACAGATATTCACACATTCTGCTTATATTGAATCAGTAATGTGCTAAATGGAGACGAAGTTATGGTGGCCTTGTTAGTTTCATTATTGGTTTATTGCTGATTATCTTCTTACCAATAACATCTGGTTGGTCAATGCTCAAGTAGTGCCAGATCGCATTTTAAGAATGAGTAAACATTATGAGGTAGGCAGAAACCTCATTTGATATCCATTGAGTTTCCTTCACTGGCTGATCATGAAGTGAACTTTGAGACATGATAAAATTATGGAAATCAACTAAGGTCACTTCTGCCTCTGTTTTCCCTTTTAGGTCTTCTCAGAGAATAAATGTGGAGGGTAGATATGGAGAAATTTTGAGGAGTGCAAATGGTAAAACGAAGAGTGCAGAGCTTGTATTTCTATGTTATAACACTCATTTGGCCATTATAACAAAATCATTGAGTTCTGCAGACACCTCTGGGCGGATACAGCCAAATGTAACCCATGTGCTTGCATGTCCATAAATAAAAAGCAGAAATGATGTTCAACATCTTGAAAGATTGATGGTAGGAGCACTTTACCAACATGCCTTCCAAAGCTGCGTTTTGGGACTGCCCGTGCTTACTACAACATCTGCTTTACTCAAACAAACCTTGATACAAGAAGGAATTTATAAGAGCATTTAGAGCAAGTCCTCAACTTTTAGAAAGTTCCCTGTGCATTTATCATGTGTGCATTGAACAACTAAGAATGATGACCATGATCCACATCATGATTGCAAATACCACATTGCATTTCATTATTCAAATAATGCTTGCTTTGTTACTTCTCATAATACCAAGCACACAGTTTTAGCCTTTTAACAGACTTTTCAACACTGTTTATTTGTATAAGTCTCCATTAGTCTTTTAAGCTGCTAGAAGCTCTGAACAATCGAGAGATTTTATTTTATAAGGTTTTATTAGAACTACATTTTTAAAACTGTTAGAAGCCATCACAGCAATTAGTACCTGGCCATTGAAGGATGAGTCTATAGATGTTCTTGGAGGAGCAACATGAAAATATGAAAAACTGAGTTTGCATTTTGACATCAGACAGAACATTTCATTATTATTTTTTTGGTATTGTGCAGTTTGAGATGGATACTTATGAATGGACTATGAGAGAGGGAAAAAGAAGGGAAAAGGGAAGGGAAAGGGTGATCGTGAAAATTACCCACCAATTTCCAGCTACTGAATGTAAAATTTTGTTGGACCTATGGAATTATTTTATAACATACAGTGAAGATAGACACGAAAGGAATTACATTAAAACCACCTACCTGAGAATCAGAACCAAACGTGCATCCCAGCGTTAGGGAATAAGAGTAATCTCAGTAGATTCCCACCTAACAAAGCTTCATCCTGAAAACAGAAAGAAATATTGTAAAAAAAAAAAAAAGGTTTTCTTCAGCCTTCGTTAGGTTGATTGATTGATGGACAGAGATTATACATATCTTGATTTTTGTGCCAAAACACTTCAGAGAGACTTTAAAGCACATAAAAACCTCTAATATATTACAACATAAATTCATCTCATTTATAAACCAACATCAGCTTTCACACCATGATTTGAGCAGCAGCTGAAATTTGTACTATATGCTATCAGGACTATATTTCAGGAAAGGTCCCAAATTATTTTGGAAATAAAGCAACTTTCCACTGGGTTAAAAAAGGAGAACAGAAGGACTTCCTTTGGGAATAGCTACAGAGGATGAGATCCTAGTCCTCAGGATCTTTAGAGGCAAAGTGAATGCAAAGCTGAGGAAGAAAGTATTGTGATAAAATGTATGGAGGAAGTGGATGTCCAGGAAGGAGGGGCTAGCATTCAAGAGGAATAAGAGATCGGATAGATAGATAGATAGATAGATAGATAGATAGATAGATAGATAGATAGATAGATAGACAGACAGACAGACAGACAGACAGACAGACAGAGATAGAGATGTTACATCTGAGAGAAAGAGGGTGAAGATAGCTTCTCTCAAATAGTTCCCAGAGTATACAGGTAATCCTCAATTTACAACCTAAATTGAGCTCAAAATTTCCACTGCTAAATAAAACAGTTGTTAAGTGAATTTTGTGCCATTTTCTGACCTTTCTTGCCACAGTTGTTAAGTAAATGACTAGAGTTGTTAAATTATTAACAAGGTTGTTAAGTGAATCTGGCTTCCGCATTGACTTTGCTTGTCAGAAGGTTACAAAAGATGATGGCGTGACCCCCCAGGACGCTGCAACCGTCATAAATATGAATCAGTTGCCAAGCATCTGAATTTTGATCACATGACCATGGGGATGCTGCAACAGTATGAAAAATGGCCATAAGTCACTTTTTTCAAGGCCATTGTAAGTACCACGAATAGCCACTAAATGAACTGCTCTGAATCAAGGACTACCTGTACTCAAATTTTGAAATTATATTTGAATGGGTTGACTTTAGAATGAATAGAATTCTTTATTGGCCAAGTGTGATTGGACACACAAGGAATTTGTCTTGGTACAAATGCTCTCAGTGTACATAAGAAAAGATACATTTGTCAAGAGTCAAGAATCATCAGCATCTGGACTAACTTCTTGAATGTGAAAATGACCATGGGAGACAGGAGAAAGAACCACATTCTGAACAACTGACAAAAAAGATACCTCAGACCATAGAAGGAAAGGAGAAAAGGGAAGGGTTTCAGAAGGGATCCTCTTTAGTTTTCCAGAAATTAAAAGAAAAGGACATCAGAAATACTTTAATTCTATAAGGGTAAATTACCATAAATATATGGGGACACGGTGGCTCAGTGGCTAAGACACTGAGCTTGTCGATCAGAAAAGTCGGCAGTTCAGCGGTTTGAATCCCTAGTGCCATGTAACAGGGTGAGCTCCCATTACTTGTCCCAGCTTCTGCCAACCTAGCAGTTCGAAAGCATGTAAAAATGCAAGTAGAAAAATAGGTACCCCTTTGGTGAGAAGGTAATAGCGTTCTGTGAGCCTTTGGCATTTAGTCATGCCGGCTACATGATCACGGAGACGTCTTCGGACAGCCTTGGCTCTTCGGCTTTGCAACGGAGATGAGCACCACCCCCTAGAGGCGGAAACGACTAGCACATATGTGCAGGGGAACCTTTACCTTTACAATAAATATAGAGATAAAACTGCTGGTTGTGCTTCTTGTTTGGATGACCTTGGAAAGCTGATGTAGGTTGACAACAGTATATTTAATGACAGTTCAAAGTTACAATGGCATTGAAAAAAGTGACTTGTTGTCATGCCCCTGGTGGAGACTGACTCTGGGGGAGAGGAGGAACAGCCGACAGGGAGTGGAAGTGTGGCTCTGGAGGTTGTGGAGGAGGCTGGGGAAGGGCAGAGGCCGGCTGGGCAGTCAGAGGAGGACCCAGGCCCATCCCCTCTCCATCCTAGGGCACACAGGGAGGAGAGGATAAGGGAAAAATGTGGTCTACTGGGGAGGAGAGGGCCTTGATCCTCTTCATGGGCTGCAGGTGTGACAACTGAATAAGAGGACGGACATGTGTATGGGCGTTGGAAACAAACCAAGGAAATATCTCTACTTTATGATTCCTCTCTGAGTTTGGCATCCTTCCCAGTGTGTGTTCGATTATCTGTGGACGTCCTCCAGCCCTTATCTTGCCTGGTTTGTTGTGTCTTTTCCCTCCTTCTTGTAACTGTTTGTGTGAGAGTTTTTTTGTCTTCAGTCAAGGATATTTGGAGCTTGGTAGCAAAGTGAAGGAATAAAAGGGGCTTTACCAGTTTTTTGTGACTGTGTTTGTTTTGTATCCCACCCTGGGTCATCCCACTTGTGATCTTTCTTACAACCGTTGCAACATCCCCTTGGTCACATAACCAAAACTTCAAATTCTTGGCCACTGACTCATATTTATAACCATTACCTGGGGTCACGTGGGGCTCCCTTTTGTGACCTACTGACAAGCAAAGTCAGTGAAGTAGCCAGGCTCAACTAACAACCATGTTCCTAAGTTAACAAGTGCAGTAATTCACTTAACAATCGTGACATGAAGGGTGTAAAATGGGGCAAAAACTCACTTAACAAATGTTTCGCTTAGGAACAGAAATTTTGGACTCAGTTGTGGTCGTTAAGGCGAGGGCTACCTGTATATCCTAACCATTCTTCACTTTTTCTGTAAAATTCTGCAAAAATGAACAGGTCAGCTTGGCTCACGACAGGACATCATTTCTAATCCTTTTGCCCAGTCCTCTCTCTCTCCCACCCTGACAAGAGACAATTGTGAAAATGAGGAAAATTAGCATAACGCCCTATAGACAAAGCAAATTGTTGGACCTCAGGATTCAATGCTTTATAAACCACAGCTGGTTCCAAAGGATTAAGGGGGGAGAACAACTAAATTCCTCTGAATTTAGCCTTCTTGCTCCTTCTTTCTCATTAAATCCTCAGCAACCCATGACGTAAAAATCAAACAACTTGTCAAGAGAAAGGAGGGGAAATAAATCCTAGTAAACTTTCAGGCAAGCCATAACGTGCCTTTTGAAAAAGTTGCCTTTTCAAATCTGAAAGTCTTCTGAAGAAAAATTAATTTCGAGGAATTGTGCAGTGGAAGAAGTCACTAACACAAACTTGTAGTCTTTTACACACACACACAGTGGGCGTGGCTTGGTGGGTGGGGTGTGGCTTGGTAGGCATGGCTTGGCAGGGGAAGGATGCTGCGAAATCCCCATTCCCTCCCCACTCCTGGGGGAAGGATAGTGCAAACTCCCATTCCCTCCCCACCCCACTAACCTGCTTTCCAGTTCCATTCTCCTGTGCAGGGCAACAAAAGAAGACCCAGCCAATCAGCTGGGACACAGGAGGCAGAGAATAGATGGGGGCGGGGCCAGTTCAGAGGTGGCATTCTCAAACTACTCAAAATTTCCGCTACCTCTGTTCCAGCTACTAAATTCAATATCCTAACAATCTATTTAAGTTAGCCAAATTATTATGCAAATTTCTATATCTTCTAAAATCAGCATGTAAAGGAAAGGATCAGAAGTTGAAAGATGAGTGTATTATGTATAATGTTACCATAATGATATGTGCTTGATTAATGTAACGAAGATGTAATTAAAATTGTCAATATTATTACTACTACATGGTAGCCAAACTAATGATACCCAGATGCCACACTGTTCATGTATTCAATACATACATACATACATACACACACCACACACACACACACACACACACACACACACACACAATTATAACAATACGTTAGTCCTCTATAGGTCCATTTTTAGGACCAAATCCAAATGCAACAGTTAGATCTAATGTCCCTTGCTATAAAGCAACTCACAGTGTTTCATGCTCTAAATTAAGTCTCACTGTCCATTGTTTTTAAGAGTTTTAATTCCATTACAGCTTGATGGCATGATTATAATTATCAGAGATAAAAACAGACACACAGAGATAGATATAGATACACACACATAAAAGAGCATATCTTATTCACTGGCTGGAGGACTGAGCTGGAATTTACAATCTGCTGTGAAAAGGAGTATGACACAAATGACAGGTCTATGTTTCCCCAGGTTTTACCTTCTTATTTTGGCTGTTACCTACCCAGGGCTTAAAACTGCAAATTACTATAATACGGCGCATCAAAATAAAACATGGTAAAAAGCATTCCAAAATGCCTCAGTTCTAAGAAAACTCGCCTCACATCTGGTTATTTCACGATTGAAGGTTAATTATCTGACAGCTGCAATACGATGTGCCGATGTGAATGTGTGAATGAGGTATTGAGACGGCCGCCCAGAGTCACTGTATTAATGAGACGGGCGGCATAGAAATCCAATAAATAAAAATAAATATTGAGATGCCTGTCTGTCTGTTAAGGTAGCAATAGTTCCAAGGGAGGAGCGGTATTGAAGAAAGATGGTGGTATTTTAAAAGGCAAATCAAATAAATAAATAAATACGCCCCTGATAAATATCCCAATATGATATAACTGGGCTGTGCTGAGCAGTGATTCAAACTGGATTCCAAACAAAAGATTCCGAAAATCTGCAGGAAGCACACCTAGCACCTGTTTGCAAACACCTCAAATAGCCACATTTAATGTTTTCCCACCAGGATCTCATGGCTGTGCGATCCCAGGAAAAGACACGGCTGCTTTAAAGACTGATAAAAAGATGCAAGGTTTGGAGCCTGTGCAAATCTTCTCTTTTTTTTTTGGAATTACATCCCAAGATGAGACGAAGTGCTACTAACTCAAAACCCGCTAATTAACAGGGCACTCTTAAATGATTTCAGTTTATGAAGTTATGAATAAAAGGTTGGGGATCCACAGCCAATACTGGATGAGGGGCACAACTTCCACTGTGGATTTGAAATACTGACA